AGGATTGGAGGACGACTTACTATAAACCTGTGATATGTATATGAGACAACCTTGCTTGCTGAAAGAGAAGAAGGCTTAAAATACTTACTGATGAAGACCAAAGACCACAACCTTTGGTATGAGTTGAAACTCAATGTGAAAACAAAACTTCTCACCACTGGACTAATAAACAACATTAAGATAAATGGAAAAAAAGACTGAAGTTGTCAAAGTCTTCATTTTTCTCAGATCAACCATCAACACCCATGGAAGCAGTAGTCAAAAAATCAAACTACATATTGCATTAAGCAGATCTGCTGCCTAAGACCTCTTTAAAGTGTTCAAGAGCAAACATGTCAGTTTGAGGACTATGGTGCACCTGCCCCAAGCCATGATATTTTCAGTAATCTCATATGCATGGGAAAGCTGGACAGTGAATAAGGAAGAGCATAGAATTGATGTCTTTGGGTTAGTGTTGGAGGAGAATATTAAAAGTACCAAAAGAGCAAAATCTATGTTGGAAGAAGTACAGCTAGAATGCTCCTTGGAAGCCAGGATGGCCAGACTTCGTCTCTCATACTTTAGAAATATTATCAGGAGGGACCAGTCCTTGGAGAAAGACATCATGTTTGGTAAAGTGGAAGGTCAGCAAAAAAGAGGAAGACCCTCAATGAGATGGAATGGCTCAGTGTAGCAAGGGTTGTGAGGTTGGTGTAGGACCAGGCAGTGTTGTGTTCTGTCGTGCATGAGATCGCTACAAGTTGGTATCGACTGGACGATACCTAGCAACAATAAAAACACTGCTTACTTATATAATAAATAAATTGGTTGAAGAGCTGAAACTGCAGAATTCCCAATCATTGCTGTAGATACTCCACTGGGGCATTAACAGTCTACTCCTAAAGCGTGGGCTGAGCATAGGGACTTCCTTCGAAAGAGGGCAGTGTGGAACAAGTGACAAAGGGTAGCTTCCTCAAGGAGAAAGCTGACAAACACCTCAGCCAAGTGATCAAGATCAGTATCAATAGCATTAAGTCATTAATATTGTGTTATCTATAATATAGGAGTCCTGGTGTGGCACTGCAGGTTAATGCGCTGGACTGAAAGCTCGGTTTAAACTGCAAAGTTGGTGATTCAAGCTCACCAGCCACTTCTCAGAAGCCGTATACAGAGTCGTGATGCGTCGGAACCGATTCAACAGCATTTAACACCAATAACAATATATGATGGATCACAGCGGCTCCACACCATAAGCACAGAACTGTGAACCACAGGTCCACGGTTTGAGTCCACCAGCCACTCCATGTGAGAAAAATGAGGCTTTCTGATCCCAGGAAGACTTAAAGCCTCAGAAACCCTACACAGGGTTGCTGTGAATCAGAACTGATTTGACAGCACTTAACAACAATCATGTATGTTGGTACCCTTGGTATAATGTGATGAGAATGGCACTTTACCTCTGTGGTCCTTGTGCCCAAACCCCATGTTGTTGTTAAGTGCTGTCGAGCCAGTTCCGACTCACAGCAACTCTGTATAGGGTTTCTGAAGAGCAGCTGGTGGGTCTGAAACGCTGACCTTGTGGTTTACAATCCAGTGCTAATCCCATAGCATGAGAAAATCATCAGCTACATCCCGATTGAGGGACATTATAAAAAATGTCTGAGCAGTACTCCCCAGAGCTGTCACAGTCACCACAAAGAAAGCTGAAGAAAGGGTTACAATCAAGAGGAGCCGAAGGAGATGTGATAGCTGAATGGAGTGCGGTCTCCTGGGTCAAACAAAGGACACTGAGGGAAATGTAAGAAAATTAGAATAAAGTATGGACTTTGGTAAGCAATAACATGTAAATAGGGGAAACATAGGAGGGAAAACTGGGTGTCAGACATATGGAAATTGCCTCTACAATCTTTCAGGAAATCTAACACAGTAAACTAAAAAGCTTACTACAAAATCAACTCTCAAAGTGTTACTTAAATTTTTAATTTTCTATCAGATAATCTACATAACAGCCAACTACTAATACCTATGTTTAAAAACTCACTTTAATTCTTTTTCCGTTTGTTGTACTTGTCTAGTTAACATTCCGTGTTCCCTCTTCTTGGCTTTAACTACATCTTCCTGATGAGAAAGTGACTCTTTTGTGACACCCAACTCCCTATTCGAGTGCTCTAACTCAATGCTCAGAAAACGAATTTTTCTCTCATTATGATATAGTTGGAAGAGCTGCAGTTGTATCTTGTTCATTTTCAGTTCATCAAGAAGACTCTGGTAACGGTCTGCCTATAAAACAGTATAATTCAACAGTAGTTAACAAAGAAAACATTTGTTTGAAAACTTTTTATTATACATGGAATGAAGGTTTACAGAGCAGATCATTGATTTTGCATTCAGTTCATACATCTCAATTCTCTCAACATAACATCATTCACCCCATTGCCTCCCTGTGGTTCCTGTTTCTACTTCTCTTGCTTTCCTAGCCCTTCCAGATTTTGCCCTTGGGTCAACGCTGCCTTTTTCATCTCAGCTGCTTGATGATGCTAAAGTGGGTGTGCCTCACTAGTATTACAGTATCCCGTATGCTGTTGATGTGCCAATGAGTTGGTTCTGACCCTAGTTAGCCTGTATAGGGTTTCCAAGAAGTGGTTGATGAGCTTGAGCCGCCAAAGGATCAAACCGACTTACAGTCCAGCACATTAACCCATAATACCACTTCAGGACTTCATACAGGTAGTCAGGAACTATCTGTAGAGTCAGACTCATAGCGACCCTGAATAAGGTTTCCAAGGCTCTCATGTTTATGGGAGTAGAAAGCCTCATCTTTCTCCCTCGGAACGGCTGGTAGGTTCAAACTGTTGACCTTGAGGTGATCAGCCCTATTCGTAACTACTAAGCTACCAGAGCTCCTTACAGACCTAATTTCTTGGCTAAAAATTGAGCCCATAAGTCTAGTGACTCACTCTCTCAAGGTGTTTTATTTTTGCCCTGTGGCGCTATGGACCTCTGGTGTGGTGCTGTGGACTAATGCGCTGGACTGCAAATTTGGTTTGAACGGCAAGGTTGGTGGTTGAAGCTCACCAGATCAACCCTATACAGGGTTGCTATGGGTTGTAACCAACTCGATGGCACTTAACAACAAACGTGGCGCTATGAAGTCCTGGGTTATGTGGTGTTATGAAGTGGATTAGGTGAACTGCAAAGTCAATCTGAACTGCAAGGTCAGATGTTCAAGTTCACCAGCCACTCCTCAGAAACCCTATACAGACGGGGTTGCAGTGGGTCAGAATTGACTCAACGACACTTAACAACAAAACATTAATAAGGAGTCCTGGTGTGGCGCTGCGGGTTAATGTGCTAGACTGCAAAGTTGGTTTGAACAGCAATGTCAGTGGGGGTCTCTGAGAGTCAGAACCAACTCGAGGGTACTTAACATTTAAACTGACGTTTCACAAATGCAACTATTATCTCAACAAATGGTACTGAATGAAGCACTTCTAAAAGACATTGGTAAGGAAAGGACTTTGCTCATATACTCGGCAGTCTGTTGCCATGACATTGCTACCCTTGATCCTGGCCCCAATTCTTGTTATGATCGGTGAGTTTGGTAAGTCCATTAACATTTCTGGCATCACTTTCCTCACTTGTAAACTGAGGAACATCATCTGACTTGGAGGGTACCTAGCAGCTTTAAAATTCCATGATTCCAGGTAAAATTCCTGCTTCAGGATGTATCTTTCAGCTAATAGAATTACTTAAGTTCCATATCGTATATAGACATATTGTCCGGAGGAAACAGTTGCTGGAGAGAAAGGTCATGCTGGGTAAGGTGGAGGGTCAGAGAAAAAGAGGAAGACCCCCAGCGAGATGGATTGGCCAGGTAGCATCATTGATGGACTCAAGTGTGGCAGCGGTAGTGAGGTTGGCCCAGGATCGGACATTGTTTCGTTCTGCTGTGCATGGGGTCACTATGAGTCGGTGCCGACTCGATGGCACCTGACGACAACATCACCATATCATGTATGGGAAGGAAGAATTGCCTGGTTGTGCTATTAAAGGGAAGGCTGCCTTTAGAAAGCCTCTCCTCGTCAGTGATGTGCTCCAAGTCACAGCAAGCAGATGCCAGGAGGCAGTAAAAATGCTTTAGGAAGGTGGACGGTTCTAGCTCTCCTTGTACTGTTTGTTGTTGTTATTGCTAAGTGCCATCAAGTCGGTTCTGACTTATAGTGACCCTGCATAGGGTTTCTGAGGAGTGTTCAAACAGACCTTGAAGTTGAGTGCTTATCCTACAGTGCCACACCAGGACTACTTGTACTGTTTAGAGTTCTGCAATTCTCCATTTTCAGTAAGCTGTCTCCATGTTATTAATACCATAGCCTGACACCACTGACAAAACAAAGGACATGCATACTTTATGCTGCCCAGAGTCCTGGTGAGACTCTGTGGGTTAATGTGCTGGACTGCAAAGTCGTTTGAATTGCAAGGTCAGCAGCTCAAGCTCACCAGTCACTCTGCAGAAACCCTATACAGGGTTCCTATGGGTCAGAACTGTGCTGATGGCACTTCACTACAACAACTATATACAGCAGTGCCTGCTCCACAAGCTGGGAATAGTGGACAAGGCAGTCAGGGTCCCTTCTCTTTTAAAGCTTATAGTCTGGTGTGTGTGTGTGTGTGTGTGTGTGTCTGGGGGGGGGGTGTTCTCATGTAGCAATGTAAAACAGGCACTGTACTGCTAGCCACAAGGTTAGCTGCTCCTTGGAAACGCTATATAGGGTTGCTATGAGCTAGAATCGATTAAACAACACTTCATGACAGCATTCTGGTGGGAGGAGCTGGACATTAAGCAAGCAGACAAAGATCATTTCATACAGCAACACGTGCTACAAAAGGAAACAAAAGAGGGTGGCATGATAGCATGAGGGAAAGGAGTTAGGTTAGATTGGGGGCTGGACTACAAAGGCCTATCTGAGGTGAAGGCTTTTGAATCAAAATTTGATTCAGTCACACACAAATCCGGCACATAGGGACTGAGGCAGAGGGAATAGCCAAAACCAAAGCCCCTCCACCACCACTGCCCACCGCCTTTTCAGTGAGTTGACATGTGCACTGACTCAAAGGAAAGTAGAACTGCTCGGCATGAGTACAGATCAAGGCAGTAGCACTACACTGTACTAGTCTAGGGAGTCATCGCATTCTGTACTGCCACACCCATGGGGATAAAGGTAGCTGCACTGAAGAATGGACTCCACGAAACAGTAAAGCCATTAGGTGCGTTTAAGCTGGACCTTTACATACGTGTCTTTTGAGTAATGTAGGAAGTATGCATAAAGTACTTTTGCAGCCTACTTAGATATGATGGATGGGTGTCTTCAGGGAAAGCACTTGCATGGCCGAGTTGAGCTGCTAGCTGAACAGTCACTTTTCTTAATTGGTTAATGTTGTTAACTGCTGTCAAGTCGGTTACGACTCATAGAGACCCTGTTTAGGGTTTCTGAGGAGCAACTGGTGGATGTGAACTGCTGACCTTGTGGTTCACAGTATAGTACTGATCCTACACACCAGGAGCCCACTTTTATTAACCCACATAAGCATTTCTTTGAATTCCTCAACCATTTTTAAAAGTGAGAAGTGGTCCAGATCCAAATTCAAGATTATTTTTAGTTGAGAAAATTGGACACCTGTACAGTTCAGGCAGTCCTGCCTCTGGGAGAAGAATAAGCTAAATGTGGGAAATAGCAAACAAATTCTCGTTAATGAATGCTGGGTCTTTTTATTATATATTACACGCGGAAGCTTCTTGGACGGAGACGTTTTTGCATCCCATAGCCGCTCGGTTACTTCATCGCGACCTTACCTCTTCTTTCTCTAATTTTGCCTGTTTGCGCTCAGCAGCTACATTCTTTTTCTTATTAAAATTGAACTGTGCATCCTCTTCAGCTTTCTGTAACTTTTTCTTTTTTTCGTCATATTCTCCTATAAACTGTCCTGAAGTGCTGATTTCTTCAAAAAACTGGGTTATTTCTTTTGGCTTTTTCACTGAAATTGACTCCACGGTTCCCTTTAAAAACAGTAAGGTTGTAGACCAACATTTTCAATATAGCACAGCAATTCTTTTCCCAAAGTACGATTGAAAGGACTACTACAGCTACTTACCTGAAAAACTAGACAGTTCCTCGCTTTGACTACTATACCTATCTTCTCCAACTCCGCTAAGTAGACAGTTCGACTCACAGGCTTATCATCAAAACGAAATTCTGAGCCTTCCCCTAAAAGAATAGACTGCTGTAGGAATTACAAGTAGTAGACACAGCACAACCATCACGGGCTTCATAGAATTGGTTTTTGTATATGAAATGGTCAGTTATGTATTTAATCAGTCTGCACAATATTGTGTTGATGATAGTGCGCTTGGGTTTTTTTTGGTTACTACTGCATGGCAGGGAGCATTCTATGGCAGTTAAAGCAAACAAAAGTCTCTGATCTCAAGGCGTGTACATCCGAGTGAAGACACACAAACAGAGATATGTGAGTAAACGTTGTTGTTGCTGCATGTCGCCAAGTCAATTCCAACACATAGCGACCTTATGTAGGTGTTCCGAGGAGTGCCTGGTAGATCTGAACACCCGACCTTGTGGTTAGCAGTCCAGTGCTGATTCTGCAGCACCACCCTGGGACTCCATGTGAGCAAACAGTGTGTGAGAAAGTGGTAAGTACTAAGGAGCAAACCCCAGCTGGGAAGGGGTGATGGAAGTCTCTGTGTAGAGGACAGGAGCTGTCATTTGAAGTAGGAGTCGCTACTCAGATGGAAACTTGTGAGGCAAGGACTTCAGAAAGCAAGAAAGTTAGCCAGTGAGCTATCTGGGTAATAAAGTGAAGAAACATTTAAATTATACATAAATTTACAAGTATACTTCTAGAATTTTCTGACTGGATTTAGGGGAGGTGGAGTCCTGGTGTAGTGCTGTAGAATAAGCACTGGACTAAAAGGTCAGTTTGAAGCACAAGGTTGGTGGTTCAAATCCACCAGCTGCTCCTCAGAAACCCTACACAGGATCACTATGCGTTGGATCCGACCCGAGGGCACTTAACAACAACAAGGTAGTATGTATACCTTAGAGAAGTTCTAAGTAGACCAGAATGAAAACAACAAAACCAAAAACCATTGAGCCTACTTACAGAGGTTCTGCATACTCCTGGCATAGACAGAAAAATAAATACACACCTTTCAATTTTATTAACGAAACAGGGATTTTATGACTAAATTTATAGAATAGAATTCCAAATATCTCATTCAAGCTGCTTTTAATGGTAGGAAAATTGTCTATACAAGCCAAATCATGCATCCTGGTGTGGCACTGTGGGTTAATGTGCCAGACTGCAAAACTGTTTGAACTGCAAGGTTGGCAGTTCAAGCTCACCAGCTGCTCCTCGGAAACCCTGTATAGAGTCACTATGGGTCGGAATCGACTCGACAGCACTTAACAACTACAAGCAAACATAGTACAAACAACTTCATGAAAGACTTCTCTGACTTGGTGGCACAGTGGGTTAAGTATTGTGCTGCTAATCAAAAGTTGTCAGCATTTCAAACCCACCAGCTGTCCTCAGGCAAATGATGAGGTGATGAGGTTGTGTGTTCCCATAAAGATTTAGTCTTAGACACCTATGGAGCAGTTAGTTCTATTATGTCTTATAGTATTGTTGTTGTTGTTAAGTGCCATCGAGTCAGTTCCGACCTATAATGACCCTGTTTCCAAGGAGCAGCTGGTGAGCTCGAACTACCGACCTTGTAATTCAAACGGCTTTGCAGTCTGGTGAATTAAAAGCACCACACCAGGACTCCTTATAGTATAGGGTCACCAAAAATTGGAATGATCTGGACGGCAGTTGGTTTCCGTCTTTGTTTTTCAGAAAAGTTCCCTCATTCATATTAATCAGATATATAGAAATAAAAACACTACTTAAGGACAGACATATTTATACAGCTATGTCTGCAGAAGGAGGTGTTCTAGTTGAGAAACCCTGTCTAACCAATAAGGGAACAAAATCTCCATTTCACTATGCCATAAAATATGCATATCATTCAAAGAAAAGTCAAGTCATCCACCGCTTGAAAAAGTAAATGACTCATAAGCAAAACTCTACACAAAAATACCTCGAATAATTCTTGTAAATGTTTTCTCCTCTCCACTCTTCTCCACATACACAATTGTGACACTTGCAAAAGAAGAGATCGGCTTTCCAATATGTGCTCCATGAATAAGTTCTTGAATATTTCTTACTCTTAAATTAGCTGTTTTTTCTCCCATTACAAAACTAAGTGCATCCATGACATTAGATTTTCCTGTCAAAGAAAAGATAGAAAGGGGGAAAGAAAAGGTCAATTCTTAATGACAAAAATCCTCACCCAGAGGCCAAGAAACCAGGTCACCAATGGAAGTGAAATGTAGTCTCAATGGTCTTGTCAATCTCCAAAGTACACGTGGCTGAACAATTTTATGTAGACCACTATGGCAAAGAACAAAGTGGTCCAAATTTAAGAATCTAAATCCCAGATTTCCTTTGTTAGGTATATTACCAAGGCGTATCACTTACCCTAACTTCTCTAAAGTTCCATTATATCTATTTCATAAACATAGAAATTACCACCTAAAGTATTGGTACCAAGATTTTCCCAAGGGCTAAAATAAGGCTGCTAAATATAACCCAGTTAGTATGAGAAGTGTTACTAGGCTTAAGACTGCTGCTATCCTTTGAAATGCTTGCTCACCAGATTGACTGGTATTTGGGAATTTGATCTCATGAGTTCCTCCCATTCCTTATTAAGAGTATCTCACTGGGCCTTAATTGCTTATGCAAACAATATGATAACATACTGAACACTTGCTTGATTTCTGAGGTCTGGAATTTTTATAAGAGTTAGGTAGAGGGTGCCTACATGAGCAGCCCACAATAAGAATATAGATACTGAGTCCCTAATAAGCTTCCTTGGTAGACAACATTCTACACGTGCTGTCACAATTAAAAATAGGAGGAATCTAGCACATGGTATGTGACCATAATGGGAAATGACTCTTAGCACCTTGTTTCCCAGGATTTCACTCCAATTGCCTTTTTCCTTTGTTGTCTCTAGTCTTTCACTGTAATGAATCATAACTATGAGTACAATCTATGCTGAGTCCTGGGAGTCCTCTTAGCTAATCCTGAACCTAGATGGCAAATTGATGTAGTATTTCCCTCATTTCAAGTTTCATAAACAGTATTATTTGGCCTTCTATTACAATGAGGTGTTATTATCTTATATCCTCTACCTTTAAGAAAGAACTGTCTTCTACAAATCACCTTGTTTTAGTACTTAATATATATGCAGCAGTAGGCAAATTTGCTGTACAAGACCTTTTTAAAGTGTTGAAGAGCAAAGATGTCAGCTTGAGAACTAAGGTGTGCCTGACCCAAGTCATGGTATTTACAATAACCTCACATGCATGTGAAAGCTGGACAGTGAATAAGGAAGACCATAGAAGAACTGATGCTTTTGAGTTATGGTGAAGGAGAATATTGAAAGTGCCATGGGCTGCCAAAAGAACCAACAGATCTGTGCTGGAAGAAGTGCAGCCAGAGGGCTCCTTGGAGGACAGAATGGCCAAACTTCGTCTCATATTTCAGACATATTGTCAGGAGGGACCAGTCGCTGGAGAAGGATACCATGTTTGGTAGGGTGGAGGGTCAGAGAAAAAGAGGAAGACCTCCAGCGAGATGGATTGGCAAAGTGGCAGCATCAATGGGTTCAAGCGTGGCATTAATTGTGAGGTTAGCCCAGGACATGGCAGTGTTTCGTTCTGTTGTGCATAGGGTTGCTATGAGTTGGTACTGACTCAATGGCACCTAACAACAACAACACATATGCAGCAACAATTGGCTAGAGGGGGGCAGTATTTGGCTGTTAATAGAAATGTTCTAACCCACCAGCTGTTCCACATGAGAAAAACGTGGTCGTCTGCTACTGTAAATATTGTTTTTGTTAAGTGCCATTGAGTTTGCTCTGACTCATAGCAACCCTGTATAGGGTTTCCGAGGAGTAGCTGGTAGGTTTGAACTCCTGACCTTGCAGTCAAGTGCTTATCCTACAGCGCCACACCAGGAGTCAGCCCATCCATAATGATTACAGTCTCAGAAACTCTAGGAGGCAGTTCTACCTTGTCCTATAGAGTGGCTGTGAGATGAAATCCACTCCCCAGCAAAGGGTTTGCTCAGGTAACTACTTACTGAATCTAACTGAATGGAAAACATGAAGGTTAAGCTGAAAACTGAACATTTTCTTCCACCCACAAAAATCAAAATTAGATTTACTAAAGACAAGCAAATGAAAATATTATCAAGTTTTGGCCAGCGGTGAAGATTTTCTACAAGCAAATGAGAACATGTCAGGTTTTGATGGGTGATGGCAAGAGGATATTATTACAAATAAAGTCACCAAGTAAATAAATTGAAGTATAACAGGAAAAATACCCACTGGCTTTAACATTATCTGAATGTGGAAGCAATTTTGTGAGATTTAAAAAATGCTCTACTAACAAGAGTTCAAATAAATAGAAGTGTCATCCACTAAAATGGCCAGGGAAGAACACCATATTGAATTGTGTGAGATACAATAGGTTACCTTATCAGGTGACTAAATACATGGTCAGCATCCAGAATACAACCATGAGGCTGTCTGCTCCCGTAAAGACTGAGTCTCAGAAACCCAAGGGGGGCTGTTCTAGAGACTCTGCCCTGTAGGTCTGCTTGGAGCTGACACCTACCAGATAGCAGTGGGGCTGGTTTGTGTAGCAAAAAGAATGTGGACAGCCAAAATTCAGTGAATCGATAAACACAAACTTTCTGTTTGGGGGACATGGTATTGAAGGCAATGATGAAATAATCTACCTTTGACTTTCCATGATTTCAAATCTCAGGGTTACCTTTCTTAGTCATTCTCAAGAGACCAGGGGCTGTGGATCCAGAGAGGGACAGCAAGGAGAATTTGTGAAGGCAGTGTTACAATAATTTTAAGATATTTCTTAAAGCCTAATAACTATTTAAAAACGAAGAAAAGTAGTAAGATTGTCTTTTCAGTTTGGCATCAGGGTTTTTTTTTTTTCTTTAAAGGGTCAAGATGCCTCAAGCAGAATCTTGAACTGTTATGTTAGGGGTAACTAATTCCTGCAGTTCAAGTATTCTGGGCAGACAGATACTCCTAAACAGCTGTAGATTACTGAGCCACCGTTATGTGATCACTGTCACATCAACACCAGTGACGGGATTTCCTGAGGACCAGGTGATGAAGGTAAATTAGGGGACTCGGATCCCATCACAGGGCAGCCAGGAGCCTGGCCAGATTTGGATTCCCAACACTGGCAAGGCCCCTCTGCCCTCAGTACCTGAGCTTCCGGATTAGAAATCAGGGTGAGTAGTGCTTGTGGGGTTGTGAGAGCTAACCACAGAGAATGGTGGCGGGAGGCCACAGGGCCATGAAGACTAGAGTCCCCGGGAGGAGACCAAGGAGCACTGAGTCTCCAGAGCATCTGCTCCCCAGAAGCTTCTGGTGACAGAAGAGGCCATGGTCACCAAGCTTCTGGTGACAGGAGATGCCTGCAGGCAGGGGTCCGGGTCTATGAAAGGTTAAAGCTGGGCCCTGGTGGGGGGTGGGGGCAGTGGCAGCCAGACAGGGAGCTTTGGGGGGTTCTGAGAGGTATAGGAGAAGGGATCTGTGGAGGCCTGAGAGGTACAGGGAGGAATGTATGGGGATTCATAGGGTGCGTGGAGGGATCTGCGGGG